TAAATTATTGAATTAATAAAATGGATTCATTATATATTTGTTAGCCATACATATTTATTTATTTATTTAACTCTAACTAATAATTTTCCAAATTTTCTTAACTATATAGTATTTGTGGGCCCTATGTACTTTAAATTAATATATCTTTACGTAAAATGAATGTAATCGAACGATCTTTTTTCATTTTAAAAGTAAAAATCTAAGTAAAAAATTATGTAATTTAAAGTTACAAAATTATGTAATTTAAAGTTATGTAAGCTTGTGAAAAATATTGGTTATAAATAATATATATACATTTTTTTTTCTTTTCATAAACGTGAAAAGAATATCCGGAATATATCGTGAATACCAAGGGTTAATTTATTGATGCTGAAGACAATGAAATTTATGTATGAAGAATTATCCCTTCGGTGAACAACTGAGACGTATGCAAGCACAGCGTTTTACCAGTCATTCGTACACTATTTCACTATGCTTTTTGTATTGTCGTATCGTGATTTCGAAAGAATCATCATTCGAAACGCGGGGAGGCTGCTCATAGAGGTGTCCAAGTGAGCCCGACGAGCGAGCGGCGGGTCCATTATTGTCCGGCGCTTAATCTGTTTGTTGTATACCGCCGGCGGGCTGCTAAGTGGTATCCCATTCTATGGTATCCCTACGTTGTATATAGAACCAGCATACGACGGGGGAAAATCCTCTTGCGAACGCGACACATGTTGTTACATCACGTCGCCCATTGTCGCGGCGCAACCCCGGCGCTCCGCTGAGTCGGGACGGTTTCGGTTGGTGAGAGATGAGCACGGAGAGCATCATGGGGAGTTCTAATCGCGTACCACTTGACACTCAGCGGCCAGGACCTCTCTTTAACCGCGTGTGGTCTTCACCACCCAGTCGCTGGCTCGCGTCGCGACATGTAAACGTATTATTTTTACGTTCCACCGGTATGATGTACATTTTGCGGCTTGACGACGTCTCGAATAGAGCTCTCAGAGATGAATGTACTACATGTATATATAACTGATGTATATCCCAGAAGTATCTCGCGCATTACTCTTCTGAATATTATATAAATATATAAAAAATACTTTTTGAAGCAAAGAAGATCAAATATATTACAGACAGAATGATTTGTGGAAATAACTATAAATATTTAGCTAGATATAGATATAGATCTAAAAATAATTTTGTTAAACCATCAAAATATTTCAATTCAAGCATGATGAGCAATACTGCAAAAAATGTTGATAAATTCTAGCAACTAGCTTAAGCGTTTAACATAATTATTTCGATGGCTCAATAAAATTACTTTCAAATCTGTGTTTACCTAATTTTTAAATACTTCAACAAAACCGTTTTTCTCTCTATTGTAGTAAGCATTAATGCATATAGTTATGTATTGTTTGAGATTTATATTTCTCTTTAAATATATAAATATATAATATTATTTTATTAACAAAATATAAATTTGTATGCATCAGTTATAAATATCAATTCTTTTTCTTTACTCTTCAAGTATGAGAACTTTATTGCAACTACATATATAATTTATTAAAAACTACTTATATATGATTCTATTAGAAACTAATATGATTTTATTAGAAACATGTGAATATATCTCTAAAGAGTAAGATTCTATTTCAAAAATTGAACCAGTCTTAAAAAAGAGTGGCTCAATTTTCAATTTTTAAGAATAAAGTTTTACTCTTCAGATTGAAATTTACTCCAAAAGTTTTAGAAAGTAATAAGATATACGTTTCATTAAAGAATTGTCGATTAACGCAACAAAAAGGGGCTACATTACGAACAATACAAGTCGTATTTCTTTGCATGCAAGGGGATGATTACACAACAATGAATGAGCCTATCTAATCCTTGACAAGATTTAATGCGGAGTACGTGATATATCTGTACTGCTGCCGCAGGTATCCAAATAATGGATTCTGAGTCGCGGTGCGGCTCTTATCAATCTCGAGCAGTGTTTGCGGAGAGCTTGCGCAGATCGCCGTAGGGGTTGGTTCTATGCGTTCGCAGTGTTCGCACCCGGGCTGGTTTTCTACCTTGCGCGTTACGTTCATTATATACTATAGATCATCGCGTGACTCTTAAAGTTGTGAAAAGAAAATGAAAAAAATAAATACAATGCTTAAATTTGAAAAATAAATACTTGTGTAATGTAAATATATCGCTCGTTAATTTATAAAAACATGATTTTTATTATCATAAATGAGTTAAATAACTGTATCAATTAAAATTTTTTTATTGCTGTTTCAATCAAAAGTGAACTAACTTAACTTCTTAACAGATTGTTAAAATCATCACAAAGAGTGGCTTTTAAGGATTGTGAAAATGACAAAAATGACAACAATTTGATCATATCATTTTTTTTACTTTAAAAGTGACACAACAAAAGTGATTAAAAAAAAATTAAATTTTTCAGAATGGGGGAAAAGCTATTTTTTAACAACAGAAAATTATTGACATTCGTAATTCATCAAAAGTGACTCGAAATATTACTAACAGTTTGTATTTACCTTGATCAGCTAACTAAAAAAATGGCTAAATTCAAAATGAAACAATTTCTTCAAATTTTAATGATCAAAAGAGTGAGTTTAAATTTTGCTTTTAAATCTTCTCTGTTGAAGACGTTCTTTTTTATTTACAAAGACGACGTAATTCAAAATGTGTCATTCTACAAAAATAATACATTTGTAGAAAATTACTATTATAAATTTTTATTGAAAACTTTAAAAAAAAACGACACAAGTGCTATTTAGAGGACATTTCTGCGACATTTCTGTTAAGTTAGCTTGCTTTTGATAATTGATAGAATAATTTTTACTTTCACTCATAGTGATAACTTAAAAATTATATTTTTTTAGTTGTGTCACTTTTAAAAAATAAACGATATTATTTCTCTTTTACAATAATTGTAAAACGTTTTACATCTACTGCGCTAACACTTCTCATGCCCATTTCCATCGACAATTATTTCTTTTTGTTGTGACATTTATGATCCTTAAAGATTCGAATACTTTTACTGCCGCTTACTTTTTACAATTTTGACATGTCGTTATTAACGTTTAACATGTATTCAATGATTAAAAACATGTTTTGATATTTTTTTCTTTTTCCCTATTAATGAAATTGATTTGTTTCTCACACGTTCGACATCGAAAGATCATCATCATGCAAGGAATTTATTTTGACGACTTGTCGTGACGTTTTTGTGGAAATGTTACAAAATAAAATATATAATTATATTATACAAAAACAGTAGATTCCAAAACAGTACTTTTTATATTTTATTGATGATCCATCTTTTATTATTCGTTTGTACTCATTAGAACTAAACTCAGCAATTGTATTTATTAAACTAAAATCATACATAAAATAAAATGTTTATCATTTCATCAATTTGTTAAAATTTAATAATTGTTTTATTAAGGAATTTTAACATTTGTCTCCCTTTTGGTTTATATAATTTATATGTATAACTTCTATGTGTGATTCGTTCATATTTGTTCGTACTCCTTGAAGTCTACTATTACTATGAAATTATCGAAGTGTTTGCAAAAATACACTTAATTACTCGACTTAAGAGAGACTAAACGTTCTTTCGAATAAGTGAAATAATTATATAAACATGACGCTAAGGTGTCTTCGAGTATCGATATCGATAAGTTCAATATTTTTGGTTACGTTTACGTTTGCATACTCGCGTTTTTATCGGTAAAAAACGTTTTACAAACGACGAGGACCGTAGATAAGATCTTATTGACATTTCCGACCGCGCGGACCTCTCGAGCGTAATCAGCTGAATGGATCATTTCGACGGATTATTTCAAGGATAATTTCATTCGCCATGCGTAAAGACATCACGGTGGTACGATACGTCCTCATTAAGAGGCAAAAATTGAAGGCCTTATTAAATGTGGGGTGGTAAATCCGGGATCCCTCACTTTATCTTTCTTTCTACCCCCCTTCTTTCTTATGCCGTGTACGCCGGATCTTTTCCCGTCCACCCTGCACATTCTCTCGCTGAATCTCGTTCTTTTTGTTCTCCACCTCTCCCTCTTTCACCAACGAGTTGTTCACGACTCGTCCGAGAGCGCAAGTCCGCGAGGTCCTGGGATCGATTCTCGGCTCAGCAGGAGGCTCCTCCTACCATGACGGCCATCTTGCAACCAGCACTAGTCTCACTATATCACATCACACTTCACTGCATCGCGGTTGCATTCTTATATTCAGCCATGCGCTCGTATCCTCGGACCATCCCGCCTTGGACTTCAATGGGGCACTTTCCTTCGATATTGGAAAATGCTTGTTTAATTATTAATGCAAAGAACACCTTTCGCTCATTGCGATAAACAATTAATTGAAAAAGTGTAAACATTATTTGAAATTTAACAACTTATGTAAAAATGATAGCAGATACAATAATAATAGTCTAAGATTAATCAAAGGATATATACCTGTAAAATATGTAAGTTAGTCCTTTATAATTATAAAATTATGAAAATAATACTATACTATGTTACTATAAATAATATTGTATATAAACTCATAAGTACAGAAGCAACGTTTGCAATATTGTTAAATGCCACAATGTTATTGTAGTGCTGGAATATTCGAGAGGATAATCACTAGCTAAAATATTGTCCTGTAGATTACATGATTTTATTTGATTTCATGTAATTTCATCTGATTACAAATAATTTTTTTCATTACGTATGAAGTCAAAATATATAATTTTATTTAACATTATGCAATGATATCTCGAGATTGCATATGTAATTATCGAATTATACATAGAGATTTCATATGAATTTTATAATGATTTCGAGAACTTTGCCTCACAATTACATTACGTGGTTATCCCCTCAGGAATGATCAGTATGAATGTTATTTGTACTTAATGTTATTTGTGTTATTTTTAATATTTTTTTAACACAGATATGAAAAGATTAATAAAAAGAGTGCGTTTCTAATTTATGTTTCAGGTGCTGAAGTACTGTGACCATTTGCACGGAAAATGGTACTTTTCCGAAGTCCGCGCGATCTTCTCCCGACGTTACTTGTTACAAAATGTGGCCATCGAAATCTTCCTTGCAAGCAGAAGTAAGTGCCGACAATTTTTCTCGTTTTGTTCATCCTCAATCAGCGAACCGCTTTTGGATGAGAGCGCATTCAGTTTCTTGTCGACGCTCCGAGTTCCTTTCCTTTCGTGTTATTTCGCGCGACAAGGATGCGATCTGATCCTACAAACGGAATCTCGAACTCGCTGCAAGGTGTTGCACGCGCGTGTTCGTTTTTATATAATAAATATCTTTTGCCCGCATTACACCTTTGTCTCTTTCTAAATCAATTTATTATTTAATCCCGCGGGCGCATCTGCAGTTATTGCTGTACTTCATCCCGCAGCGTCATATCGTAATTGTAATATACGTATATCTTTGATAACCTCACATTTCCGTAAATAATTTTTAATTGAGAATTAATGTAAAGTCGTTGTATTAATTGAAATCGATTTCATTTTAATTTAATATCAAGCAGTAAAATCGAAATTTTAAATACATATATCAATGAATTCATCATTTCGCTCGTGTGATTACCAATAATGACGTTTTTATTTACAATTGTTGCTTCTTTGTTTATCCGAGAATTGTATCCTATAACAAACCGAGCCAGAGGATTATTTATACCTGCCTTGGACCACTATCCTGCTGATTATTTCTCTGAGGCGCAGATAAATTTCCAGGTGTTCCCCGATTCTAATCTGATCTTGACTTTCGATGCGTCGTCGTCGTGAGGAGACGTTAGCGGTGGAATGTCATCCCTGCGAGGTGCCTTCGCCGTTTATTAAAAAAAATCACTGGAAACGCGTGTTCGTTAGTCGAAAAACGCCGGGGAACATGCAAGGATTGCGTCTCCTCTTGCGATAAATCGTCGAACAATAAAAACCGAGAACGAGTTACTTTATAACGGGACCACAGTATAACTTTCGGTCATCGGGCTGCGTGCTTTACGTTATAGTCATTGCATTATAGTCATATCATGTAACTTTTTCCTTAGGAAACGTGAAAAGTGAATAAAAAATTTCATTTTTCACGTTTCCGCTTTAGAGAAAAAGTTACATGCAATAATTATGAGGGGACCTTTTTGTTATTGAACACAACAGTTAGACAGTTAGTCCTGCAAGACGTTAGTATATTCTTATGATCACCTCTTGATACGCTACTTTAAATCCGCTCGTGGTATTTACATGATTGGTCATTGCAAATGTCGTCGCGAATAAGGGCGGTTTCTGTGATGAGTAAGTGATTACTGGAGCATCTGCTTACCATTAGCAGCGTGTGAATGTTTATAATTAGAAAATTAGCAATTTGCTTGTACCAGCATGAATCGAAAGAAAAACGTGAAACAGCTGGACAGACTATATATTGCTGCATGCGTAATAAATACGTATGTTTAATAAGATGTATGTTACAGAAGGTGAACTGATGAAGAATGTCGATTTACATTACTTGAGAAGATATTCATACACAGTAAAAAACATTCTGTTTAAAACCAGTTCTTGTTAAAATTATTATATTGAATTTTTATTCAAATGTAAATTTAATATAATGTGATTATGTTAGGTCTGTTTTTTTATTGCTGCACTCTGAACCAATGCAATAAGTTGAAGTGAAATAAATATATGTTTCACTTCAATTTATTGCTATGTATACTAGTTCAGAAAGTGTAGCAATAATAAACATGTCTATTATTTGAACATTTTGCATTAAATTTATATTCAATATTTCTTAATATTAAAATAATACATGAATAAATGAATAATTAATAATTAATAAATGAATAAATAAAAATAATGTGTGTTAATTTATTATATTATAAATTTTAATGAAGAAATACGCTTTCATAATTTGCTTACAAATTATGTCAGAGCTATATTTTTTGTATTTTTTAATATTTATGTTATTTCCTAACATATTCATCTTGTGTTAAATTGACACAAAAATTTGGGTGGATAATTTGGGACACATAAAATGTATTGAAGTTAATATAAATTATTCAACTATGTATGTTTATTGTAATTATGAGAATATATCAACTATTTAAAAAAAAAAGAAAAAATCGACTTTAAATATTAATATCGACTTTAGATATTCAGCCTATTTTATTTGTATACGTATAGAAGTAAAACCTATACGATTGAATTTTTCTTCTGTTTTAATTAAGATTTGCTTTCGTGTACAGATAGTTCGGTAAATTACTAGGAAGTATTTATGGTAACCATCTTCTCGCACGCTACCCTTTGAACTCTCAGGGGGAGCGTCGCGAACGCACTCCAAACGATTGGGTTTTCTTGTGCTTTCTATCATTTCACAGGAACAAGCTAATCGATTTTAAGATCTACAAATTTATTACAAATCTAGCCATTGTATAATAAATATATAATTATATACTTAATAATTTATCGCAATCTGATATCTTAATAATATTAGCATAATCGCATGATTAAGTAATAATACTTTTGCGCGATATCTAAAGATAATAGTATCGCTTTATCTTTGTCACAATGTCTTCATTAAACTATAACTCTTATCAATATTTTTATACATATAAATATATGTATCAAATTGAAGAATTAGTTTCTGAAATAAGAAAGAAATTCTATCTCTCTCCTTTTTGTTCATCGTCCGAATGATTGACGTCGATATGTTCTCGAAATCGGACTCTCTTGCTAATAATTCACACTTTAACACCTTTTTGTCCACAGCTTCGATCCTGTTCGCGTTCTCGGACCAAGCGACGGTGAAAAAGATGATCAAGGCGCTACCGCGAGTCGGTGTTGGCATCAAGTACGGAATACCCCAGACTAGGTAAGCGATAACTGCCTGGAGGAAGGAAGCGCTTCTGTCGTTCCACGGAAAGATCCAAGGATCTCGGAATCTACTTCCAAACATGCTCGTCGCATTCCCTCGTTTCTTTGTCCCTTTCGGTAAGGCAAGCCAGGGACGGATCCAAAGCGCTTCTTTCTATAGATACTTACCATTTCCATTATCTATTTCGACTATAGAAACACAATGAATAAGAATGAGAGCATATTATAATTAGTCACTATCAGTGAATCAAACTGGGAAAAATGAGATAAAAATATTTTTTTTAATGATTTGTCGTCAAGTTGATTCTTGAAAGAGATAAAAAAATTTAGATTATGATATTAATACGTGTAAGTGATAACCTTAAAGTATAAAACTATATCTATACACGAGTGTGTCTTTTTATAACATTTTAATTATTAATTTGTTTTATTATCTGTATCATATTTCAGAAAGATGTTTTTATTTAATATAGTATTTTTTATTTAATTATTATTTTTTTATAAAAAATGAGACATTATTTATTTCTTTTTATTATTTTATTATTATATGTAGATGTTACTGAATTAGATTGAAGATATATTAAAAAGTGGAACTTTGTACAAGCAATAGTGAAATTTTTGTTAGTTTGTTTTCTATCTATTACTAACAATTATTGCATTATTTATATTATTTTATTTTCTTTCTTCATGCGTTCTTTAAAAAAATAAGTATTTATGGTATTTGAAAGAATAAAAGTATGACAATATGAGCGAGTGTAAGAAAGACAACAAGGACGTAAAATTCGTCCCTGCACGAAGTCCCATGTGTTTCTCGTATTGTGATGTCGTAAGTACCGAAGAGAGATTCTCGCAGGATACGAAGTCTCCCATAAGTCGGCAGGAATTGGCGGCAAGAACAGAGGTTCGCGTATCCGCGCTTCGACCCATCCATTAGAACGTTCCTATATACGAGATAGCCAGCGAGAAGGATACATCGGCCATAAATATACGACGGCGAACTCTGACGTTCTCTCTCCGACTGATTTGAGAGAGAAAATTCTTGGCTGACCGAAATAATTCGTCGGTATATAAAACGCGAATCCATCGTGACATATATCGGAAAACATATTTATTGAAAAAGAAAAGTTCTTTAGTTAAGTTATTTAATTAGCACGCCGCATTATTTAACATTTCGAAGAAGTATTACAATTACTGTTCGATTAATTTTAAATAAATTGATTTAATGAGTTTAGATTTAATCGTCATTTTTTAATTAAAGTATAATTCAGTATTAAAAATTTATATGTTTAAAATGTTAATTTTTTTTCATTCACTAAAAATATTCTTTATAAAAATTTTATATGATGAATATAAAGCATTCTATACATTTCTGTAATGTGAATTCGACATGAATTATTATGTGTAACAATTTAAAAAGAAGTTCGATTCTCCGGAAATTGATTTGTGTCCGTTTCGCAAAATAGTTGAATGCTGAGTAAAAAGTTATGACACTGTCATAAATAATTATTTTAAGTAGCTATCTCTCACGCTAATGTTCTCAATACAACTTTAATTAGCACAGGATAAATAATTACATACAATATATTCACAAAAAATATTTTACGCAGTAGAAATATCAAGAATAATTTCCATAAAACTTGCACGTGTGTATCTTTATTTATTCTTTATTTATTAAAACTATCTATAAATTGATAATTAGGAGTTTTTTTTAGCATATCAGTTATGTGTTAATTTATATCTGCTGATCTTGCCAGGAATATTACTCTACTCCATAATTAACACAAATAGAATTTACTTTTAAAATAGAATCCTGATCGCATGCATAATTTATATGATAGTCGTATTTCGTATACTTTAAGCGGATTAATTTTACTATACGAAAAGTTTTGTACTATAATATTTGAAAAGAAACGGTTTTGCTGAAGTATCTAAAAATTTTAGCTAGATGCAGATTGGAAAATAACTTTGTTGAAAGTATTACAATAATTATATAGGATACTTAAGCTGATGGAATGTCAAAACTTTTTGCAGCGTTGATCATGCTTAAGTTTTCTATAAAATTATTTGAAAAAATTGTTCTTCCATACACACACACACACACACACACACACACACACACACACACACACACACACACACACACACACACACACACATATATACATAAATCCATATATATATATACACACACATAAATAAGTTGAAGCATTTAACAAACAATACATTCCAAAATTTCCACATGAGAGAATGATCGACATTTATATTTCGAGAAATGCAGTCGGCACTTTGCCGATCGCATTGCAGCACTAGAAGTTTTCATGCTCGTATGAAATTTACGCGAGATGAATCCAAGAATTGAATTTATACATCCGGTCGTCGTCGTCGTGTGCCTCCTTTAATGTCTGAAGGACGCACGCCCGTTAAAGTCTCCTATATAAATCCTAAATCAGCGATCTTCACGTTCATAAAGAGAGTTTTATGGTGCGAACGCAAAATGCCGGTGTGCTCGTCCTGACGTAATTGCTCTTGTAAATTGGGCCCGACCGCCGTCTTAATTGCTTATCAAAGTTATATACACCGCTCATTTGATTTGGTAATTAAAACGCGCTGCGCGATGCCGAGAAGTGACACGTCTCGCAATATGGCCTACAATCTGGTATACAATTATATCGTTTTGGCGGCGAACTATAAATCATCCGGGCTTGTTCCGATTATGGATATTTCGTTGTTGGCGTATATTACGATGTATTTAAACGTACGCATATGGATGTTCTTATTTCTATATGCCTACAATCTTTTATACTTTGATTTAACGAGCATAGATATGGACGTTTCGAATATTCATGGCAAAAATAAGTTGAGATGAAATTTTATATTGAAGTCGTTAATAATAATAATTATTATTATTATTTGAGAATTATTGTAATAGTTCTCCAAATTTTAGAACGAACAATTTTTTTCGCAATTAAATTAGACTTTGTTATGTATTTTAAGACGAAAATATTTAACTTCTTCTTTTCTATTTATTATTTCTTACTGTTATTGACAAACTTAATAATTACAAATACATTTTTGATTTTTCAATCATTGGATACATTCAATTATTGGAGTACTTACTTTAATTAGAGTAAATTAATTGGAGAATAATTTGCTGTAAAGTTGCGTTATTTTGTTTTCTGTTAGTCATATTTTACATATTTTAAACATGACTGTGTTTTTTATGTGAATGATCGGTAAATTTTATTTATTTTACAGACGAGCATCTTTGATGTCACCGCGACAGTTGATGAGGAGTTCCAATATGACTCAAAAATGGCAGCGTCGGGAAATATCCAATTTTGAATATTTGATGTTCCTGAACACAATTGCTGGTAAGTATCTTTACTTTGTAGATAAATGTAAAACGCGATCAAAATCGACTGGTGGTCGGCCGATTCCGCTTGGGTATCGATTGGAGAAAGAAGCGCGAAAGTAGCGAAGACACCAGGCTTTTTTATGGGTGCACACGGGCGGATGGAGTCTGTCATGGCGCATTAGGGATGTTCTCAATCAGCCCTGTGTTCCGTTAGCTACCCTATACGAGTAATCCCAACCTTGTGGACCCCGGTAATCCTCTCCCGAGGGACTCGCCACCACCCCTCCTCGCCTCGCGTTGCTGAGGGCGAAATGGCGTGTCTTTGTTTCTCTTCGGTTTTAATATCGGCTCCCTCATGCGTTCATCGAACCAAATCACGAAATTCGAAACGCCACCGGCCTCGTGCGCTTTTTAATGAGACAGTTCGGTCGTCTCTTGACGAGTCACGATGTACTTAGCAGGCGCATCTCGCTGACCTTTTCATCAAAGCGTTATTCTTTTAATAAGTTATATACGACTCACGATATTAAATACTACAAGGGAAAAACAGCAAATATAAATACAACACCGAATAAAATATTACACAATTAATTAACTTTGACAAGATGGAAAATATATTATTCCAAATAGCACGTATTATTCTATGAATATTCTACGTTGAATATCAATATTTCTTTCTAAGAATATTTGTATTGAACATTTATAGTATTTTAAACGTTAATATAGTGGCATTAATCAAATAAATATTAAATAGAATATAAGCATGTTAGCTTATTATGACAGTATTTCTAAAAAATAAAGATTTCAGTTAATATAACGCTTTTCTATTGTAGATTGTTTACGCAATTGCATATTTAAAGATTTGTAAAGAACAGTTGTAAAAAAAAATATATTAAACAATATTATATAAAACAATATTTTACAATTTATATTTTTTCTGGATATGAAAGGTGACTATTCCCAGTAGATTACAATAGTGCCAATAACAGAATGATGTATTCCTTTTCTCAGACAACATTTATGCGAGATTTAATGATACTTACACGCAAAGCGTGTTCGCTCATTGTGCTTTTATTATCGTGCGCACGATAGAACAATTTATTTTTCATTTCACGGAAGAGAGAATTCAACATGTACCATTTGTCTTCTATATTACACGAAAGAAGCATTATATATAGAAGAAACAAACGTATCATCAAACGATTCTCTTCACTTGCCGCGAGGTTCATCGACTCCCAGAAGTGATCGATCTCTCGCTGTCCTCTTCTCCCCAGGCCAAGTTCTTTCGATAATAATCGTCGGTGGGCACGATAGTGTTACGGGCGGCACGCCAATCGTCGTTGCGGCAATATTAACCGGTGATCGGTTGCGATTCTTGTAAACTAGTCGGTTAAGAGTTCGCTCAAGCTCGCGTCGTAAGTTATCTCGTCCGTGCGGGATTTATGCGCACCCACGCCCGCGGTCGGCCAGGTTGGCTTAATGACGGCGATGAGCACGGACGCGTAATTATTCGCATTTCGGCGCAGTCCGCCGCAATCGGCCCGGGGGTGGCCGCGGCTGCGTATTTACGAGGGTTATATATTAATTGCTCGAATAAATAGCCGTGGGTACACCGAGGCCGCGCTCCTCTGCACGTAACGTCGAGAGCGGCGGAACCGTCAGTCGAGAGAGAAAGAGAATTGATACGAAAACGAACCGGTCCGCGCCGTGCTGCGCCGCGCCGGTCCGCGCTCCCGCATACGATCAGTCTGCGAGGTTTTATTTTGCTCTCCGTGCGTCGGTTTATTAAAAATTAATGACAGTGAATCCGATGTAAATACGATAGCCCGCACCAGCGGCGGCGGCGGCGGCGGCGAACCGGCCGCGCGTGTACAGGGCGAATCGTGAAGAGTTCGAAACAGAGACAATCGATAAGTACTTCTTGGGATGAACGTTGTGCGTTTTTTGAATGTAGGATATTTATGTTCATATCTCACATTGTCATGTATCCATAGTTACATTTTGTCACTATTTCTATATTGTTTCTTGTGAAAAATAATTTGTAACGCTTTATGTGGACCACCCTGTGCAAAATGCGTAGCAGTCGGCATAACCTGGAGTATGCTGGAGTTACAACGCAATCTGATCTTAACTCTTCTCGATATAATTGCTTTAGTCACATCCCGCGGATATCGTGATATTTTAAATCTGTTTACATACTCCGCAATCGTATCTCGCGTATCAACTACAGCCATTAAGTATAAAGCACTCTCAATTTATTGCATTTTCTTGAAAAAGGCAGTAATAAATATCAAAGAAGGACTAACGGAATTAAAATTGTTAAATAAAAATAAATATTATATAATATATATGAATAGATATATTTGTATATTAATCTATATATAAATTAAACTGTTTTAATTTATTCTTCGTTAGATATAAAACGTTTACAATTTATGGTGTTTTATACGATTTTCAATATAATTTCAATTAGTCAAGTCTTATTTTTGCACTTAATAATCAAGATGATAAAAATTAGGGTTACTTATTAACTCACCAACGTACTTATAGCTCAGATTGTATTTGTGTTTAATAAAAAAGAAAACACAAGATTCATTATTCAAATATTTATTAAAATTATAAAAAATGTGAAGCATAAATATAAAGCGGGATGTAATATATTATACGACGAGATGCGTACGCACAAAGAATATTGATATACGAGTACCTCCAAATTTCTATCGAATTTATTTTTCAAAATGTATATAGTTCGTTTTATATACACCGATCTACGGACCTTTCATCGGACCAGGTAGTTGCCAACAGGTCATCGCCTTCGTTTTCGATCGTATCTAGGCTGATCTTGCTTTGCAGTGAATTATTGCCGAGGACACAGCAAACGTCCGATAAAACGACCGACAGATCAACCGACTGATTCATTATAGACATACACAAACGTCTATAATTATAATGCATAAATGCAGTGTAAATATCGTTAACTCTGATCGAAATAAATACTCGACGTCCTAATTTTACTTAATTATCTTTCTCAATTATCGTTAAATTACATATTATGTTAAATTTAAAAAACTAGACTCAACTCTCCAGAGTTGATGGCAAAATCTACGTTAAAAAATCAGATAATTACTCCCGGCTTAAGGATACTTGTAGTACTTTGCATGCACGTCTTTTCGACTGTCAATGGTCTTATTGTATGTCGCGAATAATTATAATCTGTGAATTCTTTTTTTAAACGTTCATATTTCTTCTGAAGCAGGGACAAAATTCGGAAGAAAAAGCAAGCGTAAGGTCCAATGTCTTTAAGACGAGAGAACGACAGAGGATACGTGTGTGCGTTTGTGTCGCGGACATTCCGGTGTCGAGGCGCGTTTGTCGAGCGTTTACTCATGCCGACGCTACCATTAATAATCACTTTGATGCATAACGCGACCTCGCTATTATTTACGCACGGCCGTCGCTCGCGCGACGCCCACGATTTACGGTCGTATTGTAGCGACAGTGGGACTTATCCGCGGTGCGATACGACTTTGCCGTTGCATTGCTTTTTTTTTTTATCGAGGGAATTAAGTATCCGACGAACTTCTTGGAGACGGTCTCTCAGTCTAGTAGTTCCTGTCAGTTCACGGTGTCTTTAACCCGGCAACAAATGGCCGCACTGTGTTGATATTTAAAAATGCGCTCTAATAAGGGATAGATTTATGTGCAGTAGTAATTAACATTTTGATTGTCAAACTGATTTCAACGTTGAGCACTGAGAGACTCAAAGTCGATATATGAACGATTGTTTATAAAATATCGCTTACGAAAATCTAATACCAAATTATTATTAAAAGATAGTAATTAATTATTTATTTGAAGTACTGAACATCTGTGCTTTATTCAAACAGTATTTACTTAAAATAAGTTAATTACTGTCTTTTAGTAAATTGATTAGTATTATAATATTATCGCTTATGAAAATCTAATATTATTAACCAATTTATTACTGAAAGACAGCAATTATAATAATTGTATACTTATTTGTAGTATTAAAAATGCTGAATAGCAGTACTTTTAAGCAGTATTTACTTAAAATAAGTTAATCACTATCTTTTAGTAAATTGGCTCTTTATTAGATTTCTGTAAAGATATGTAAAGTCAAATTGTGTAAAATAAACCATATCATTTCACCAATGTGTCCAATAAATAAGTATAAATAATTGAAAAAAGTAAATAATTTTAGTTAAATAAGAAAATATTCGGTCAAAGCGGATCTTAGTGCTTAAATATTTATACGTAAATTTATATACATATCTGGTTCTGCAAACTGTGTGTCGAAATCTTTTTCGATCTTGAAACACAATCATGAGTAGAATCAGAGGAATAGTATGATTCATTAAATTAACAATTTATGAAGTCTTTATAACAGAATGTGTAATTAATGATATGCAAAAAAAACTCTTCGTACTTGCGGTTCATCACAAACACGAACTTTATTAACTTCTGTTTATTTTAGACTAATTTGAATAATTCTTCTTCACTATTTTTCTACACGCTATCATTTGCCGTAATTTCTTGATTAATTGTCCTATCGATAAGCGTTTATTACCTGCAGGTGCTTACAAATTTAATAATTTTTAATAAACGTCTTTATATGAATATTAGTAGTCTGATATTAATAAGAATTTTAAATCTGCGAAAAATATTGCCTCAGCTGGGATTCAAACCCGGATCTCTTGCGTATTCCATGCGGGTATTCTCACCATTCGATTACTAAAGTAAATAAATATAAGAAAAACTGTACATTATACATCACATTATACATTATTTATATTATTACATATTTAATAATATAATTTTAGCTAGGACAGTAAAAATATAATTCGCAAACCGAAATAATTTTTTTATGATTAAAACGGATATAAATAAAAAAATTTTTTAATGAATAATTTTATTTTAAATAAATCTAATATATTATTTTTATGTTTTATTGTTTTTTTTTTTACAGAAACTACAATTTTACCCAGGATGCATAACATGCGATCAAAGCAATAACGAGTAGTAATATATTTTTTGAAAAATATCAACATTACATAAATTTCTACCATATATTGTATTACTATATTTTATGCTACGTTTGTTAAACGATGCGTTGCATTTGCAGATTTAGATCGCTTCCGTTGCACAATAATCAGTAGTGGGAACATTTCGCGTGCTATGTCGTCGAATAGGATCGAAGTAAGAAAAGAAAACGAAGTAACGAAGCGAGGGTGGATGGT